CCCCCCCCCGGAGAGGGCGCTGGGGGCCTTTGGGTTCCCTGGTGACTTCGTTTTAATCTATTTTATTTATTTATTATTTGTTTTTAAAAGGAGCGTTTCTTGGAGAGTGTTAAAATAGATACAGTCTTTATAATGAAAAAGATACTTCTGTGAATTGCACTTGGAGGTGGTGCACTGTGAGGAAGGCCTTTCTGGGCCTCGTTTGCTACCCGTGTATTTGGTTTCTTGTGGCCCTCATCAGGAGACGTAGGTTGCAAGGTTGTGAAGTGCTCATATCCTTTGTTAGACTGAAGTAGGCAACTGTTTCAGCAGTGGAGTTGCCAAATTGCTCCTCCTGTGCCCCGCTGAAAAGTGGGTGCCCTGCTTCCTCATTATGGTAGAAGGGTGGGCTGTTCTAAAGCCTAAATGAGCTTTGTACTTATACTATGTTGCCATATAGAATGTACAGATACAAAGCAGCAATACAGAAATGCAATTACAGCTGAAGAATCTTGGTGTTACTGAAGCTTGAGACATAGTGGTTGTTTTTGGCAAACCAAAAATTTCTGAAAATCTGGAATTGATATGAAAATTTTCTATGGAAAATAAATATATATATTTTACTTGTTTGCTTAAGGGCATCACTCTGACAACATACCTAGTTAAAAGACGAACTCAAAGCATTTTATTGGATTGGGCTTCTAAACAGAAAGTGATTTTTAGGTTACATCTTACTGGGGTTGGGTTGCGAACAAAAAAGGAGGGAGGTTGCAAACTCAAAAAGGCAAAAAGCTTTGCAGCTGAATAAATAAATAAAGCCATGAGATTCAGAGATGAAAAACAGAGATATATCTCCATTGATCTTATTATAAAAGAGTACCTCGAAATTCCATGTGTTTTATTTGGCTGCCTTCATTAAATTTGAAGTCTGTGTGTTTTATGTTATCTATGCCAAAGGCCTGTCATTTTTTTCAGAACAGTATTATTGCAATTAAAAGTTATTACAGTAATTGAGACTAAGTTAAATTCAATAATCACAACAGTATTTTTTTTTCTCCTAAGGTTTCTGTTTTGATCAATGAATGAGATTAATATCTCAAAAATGGCTGATTTAACTAAAATAGAGGAGCAAGAAGCTGAGAAGAGCTTGTCTGAAGAAGTAGAAAGAAAATCTCATACTCTAGAGAAAGATTCAGGTATCAATTTGGAAGCCAAGGGCTCAACTTCAGATACAGGGCATTCCACTGAAAATGAACTTGCTAGTGATAATCAGGACAACACAGCAAAAAAGAGGAAATTAGATCCTGAGGATGACACTCCAAGGAAAAAAGTGAGTATCATTTGTTTTGACCCATGTTCAAATTCTTGTCTCAAAGCCTTTGCTCAAAAGAAGACAGAAAATATTTGCTTGTGTGAACCACCAAATGTCAGAATTAATTCTGTGGATAGCATCCAAGGAAAGTAAGAGATGCAGAAGTTGTGTTGGACTTCTCGAAAGAAGAAAAGTGGTACTAATTAGAATATGTAAAAAGTCTGATCTCAGAGCATGCTGGGGATGGAAAGGAAGTCTATTTCTAAGATTATTGTTCTGGCCTCTATGTGGTATCAGTCTGATAGCATCCAAGTTACCTATCATCAATTAGTAAGTCTTGTATTTTGAGTCATACTGTGTATTAAAATAATTGTGCGTGGAAGGTTCTCCCATATTTTGTCCTTAATCCCCTGGATAAATTATAATCTGGAAAACTCTAGCAAGTGCATCTTCTGTGGTATAGTTTTAGTATAATTCGTTAGGGAGAGGAAGGACTGAAAGCTTTACGGGTACCTGTATTTTATTTTGTTTAAGACAACAAAAATTGCTTTTCCTTCTAACTGGGAGGGTGAAAAGGGGGAATAATAAGAAACAGTCTTAAGCAAAACACTCTAACATGAATTTCTACAAGTGGCATATGTAATGTCCAGTCGAATTTTGACCTTTTTGGATGTTTAAGCATAATTTGAGAAGGTATTTGATCTCAAGGTTTGTTTGTCCGTTCAGATTATTTTCCTGGATCTTAATTCATGGACACAACATCTGATAAAATAGAGTGCTCTTTGTTTTCATTGCAGCATTATTACACCTTGCATCTTTCTAATAAAGAGCAGTTTTGCAATTAGGTTTGGGAGATAAACATAGCGTTTTTTTGGTGTGGTTTAAAGGTATAGAGAAGTGATTACTTTGAATGTAGCTGCCAGCTCTCTAGATATTAGCACTGATGACTTTACAGCTGTACTTGAAGCAGCTGGGATGTGTTTAAGGATTGTGTGAATGTCTCCCACACTTGTCAGTCAGCTTTTCTAGCCTAAGTCACCTTCACTGGCCATTCAAGGAACTGTCTGTGCTTATGCTAAAAGACTAGAAAGGATCAAAATACTCCTTGCTATCGCTCAGCCGAGAGACCAGTGCTAAACAGATAGTGGGGGTCATAGCTATTCCAGAGAAGTATGTCTGTGTATGTTCTGTATGTTACCAAAATTATCTGAAACGCCGGAGTATTAATGAAGTGCATTAAAATCAGAGAAACCTTCCTTTCTCTCGAGAAACTCTTAATTTAATAATAACGTGTCTGGATATTGACTTATATAGTAGATTACTCTTGAGAATAGTGTTTAATTATATGAACTCATACTGGATAGACCTATATGGGATATTTATAAATGTTGACTGATGAGAGTCCTTTGTTATTGTTTATACTATTATTTCAGATGCTTTAGACCACCTGGTACAATTTTGTTAGTCCTCTGTTTTCTGTTACTTTGTAATTTTTGCATAATTTATTTTTATTGCATACTATGTATAAAACTGGGTATTATTTAAACAAGGAGAAAATCTTAAGAGGGTAATAGCCAGGTACAGAATGCATCCCTGTATCATATGGGGCAGAAGTTTCTTGGACTAATTATGTTGTGGCTTAAATGGAGATATTTCTACAACTAGCTGTTGAATATTGAATGCAGTACTGTCATCAAGCTCTTGCTTACCGTGGTAAGGGAGAGAAAGTAGACTCTGGAGTTAAAAATTCTCTGTTCAGAGCTTAGCAATGTTATCCCATAATGGCTTTGAATATACCAAATAAGCCTGTTGGCATTTTAGATAAACTTGCACTGTGTATACATCTGTTAGATGTAAATACTAAATTTCAGATAACAGGATTTTTGAGAAAGCTTAAACCTGGACAAGTTCCTAGAGAAGAGTGCATCCTCCTCTTAAATCCATGACTTTTGGGTCAACAAAGCTAATCATTTGAGAGCCATGGGAGTATTATATAAGCCCTTAAACATTACTGTGAAAGAATGATCATCATCGTACAGAAATTACTTGAATCAACAGAAAATGAAATTGATTTTTAAAGGAGTTGTTTCTTCTGTAATTAAACTACTGAGGTCAGTACCAAGGCAGATAGGGCAGATGTGTATATGCAAATAAAGCTGGTTATCTTTGCCATTACTTGTTTACTTTCTTGAATCCTTAAAGTGAACATGTTTCTTTTGAGTAAGTGGAAAAAAATAATAACCAGAAATCACTGTTTTAGTCTGTTCTCTTCCTTATTCCTACAGAAGCAGATAGGCCATGGGCAGGCTGTAGCTGCGCATTATAATGAACTTCAAGAAGTTGGATTAGATAAACGCAGCCAAAGTCGCATATTCTACCTCCGCAACTTTAATAACTGGACAAAGAGTGTCCTCATTGGTAAGGTTCCTTAACAGATTGCATTAGACTTTAAGAAAATACAGCTAATGTTTGTGCAAAAATGTAACTGTGTTCTGCTTTCTGATGCTGATTATGGCACTTACTGTATGTGTGTTAATACAGTAAGATCTTCAAGTGAAATAAAATTTTTATTTTGCCTCTTTTTGATAGCGTCTTGCTTTTGCAGGAGTACCAAATAAATTCTAAAGTTTTAAAAATCAACTGACCTGAAAACTGGAGAAAGTTCATATTGGAAACTGTGCTTTCTGCTTTTTTCAAAGAAGAAAGGGCCAGCTTGTTTTAAACCATAAAGAATTCTGGTCTGTGAAATCGAGCTATTCTTGTCATTTACATCTATCTGAAATAATTTCTTAGTGTTTTTCCCTAGGCAGTTTATCTTCAGGTCCAGGATAAGCAGAAAACTTGAACACGTTTTGTATGTTACTCATAGTTAATGGTTTCAAAAGGTGAAAAAGTATAAAATCTAGTTCTTGAGGAAGAAGTTATAGCAGCTTTTTGTAAAAGACAATGTCTGCTGTCCCACAAATCAAATTTCAAAATGAGGAAACAAAACTGTCAGGTATCTCCAAACAAAAAAGAGAGTTATTGGCAGAGCACCATAGTCTTGGCAAGGGCTGTGTGCCAGGACATGTTGGCACCATTTGTTTTAGCATGCTGCTTTTTGTTGGGTGGTATCAGAGCAGGTAGAAGTAATATTTAGGTTTATATAAAAGCCATTCATGGAGCCTGTGTTGAAGCCTTTTAGTCATAATGAATTTAAATACTGTAGCGTTATAGTGCTTGTATCAAAACATATTTCATGTCTCTTACTGTGAAGGAAAGTTGCTAGCATGCTGATATGTTTTGCATTTTATGTCAACATCAGTCAGAGCAGAAATATTGAGAGGGAATGGAGTGGAAGAGAAAGTGAAATTAAGTGTATGTAGGGTTAAAAGGCATTAGAGAAATACCAAGTTATTGCAAGGCCTGTGAAAGACTGAATGGAGAATGTTTGCACATTAGTAATGCCACAGCAAGAAAAAGTTCCACCTGCTCTGTTGTTTTTCTCATGATTCTTTGGTGTTTTTAGTTCTGCAGAATGCATTCTTGTACTTCCAGATAAAATCCACCTTTTATAAGGATAGTGAAAGGGAGTTCTGCTCTCACCTGACACATAGGTTGCTGTTAAGTGACTGTAAAATTTTGACTTTTTTTCTCTGCCAGGGAAGAGTTCAGAGTTCAAGGCACACTACATGAAAAGCATATTAAGCATGGAAAATACTCATTATTTTTTCTATAGTGTTAGGAATTTGTAGTTATTGTTTTCATTAATAATCTGTAGAAAGAGAGATAAAAGTCTGTAACACGAACAGGGTTTATCGACAAAGTGGGTTCTAAGATACTTTAAATTTTTTTTTTTAACCCTTTAGGGTTCTCTATATGACTTTTTAGGGATCTCTGTACAATAAAATGAATTACAGGGGCAGATACAAAGTATTCTCTTTTTGATTCTATAGGTGAATTTATAGACCGGGTACGACAGAAGAAGAGTGATATAACTGTTTTGGATCTAGGATGTGGCAAAGGTGGAGACTTACTTAAATGGAAAAAAGGCAGAATTAAAAAACTTGTTTGTACAGGTAAGGAGATGCTGTAACTTCCTAGGAAAAATACACCAGTGTTTTTCGGAAAAAAACAAGCACATCTCAGGTCTTTTATTTCTTGCTTTGCTAGTAAGCCCTAAAATGCGGTGATATACCTCTTGTGGTAGTTCTTGTCTTTTAATCTGAAGACCTCAACTTTATTGCCAGCATAAATATAAGAATCTTTTTTTTCTTTCTGTGTAATCAGCATTCATTTCAATTCAAGTAAAAGCTAGTATAAGAAACACAATTGACAGCGATTGTCTCTCTGTATTTTGCCATGTCTCTCCTCTCATGTCTAAGCTTTTGCAATTTTTTTTACCATTCTAAAAATAAACATGAAAGAGTTGTGTAAAAATGCTGTTATAGTTTTAGAATTGTGTGCTGTCAATATTCAGTGAAATGAATGCCTGAGATTTGAAGAGTCTTAAAAAAGAGAAAACTGTGTATATCACAAACCTTCCCATTTAAGTATTTTCAAGCATTTTTTTTCTTTCAGTTCTTTAAAAAAACTTAATATCTGAGTGTAGCTGAAGATAACTTTTATCCATGCCTTAGAGTGTTGGCTGTGTTCAATAATCTTTCCAGTTTTCTGGTTTGAGGAGAAGTTTGCATATTTTTTATTTATTTTCAATAGATATTGCTGACATTTCTGTGCAGCAGTGCAAGCAGCGGTATGAGGACATGAAAGGAAGATGTCGCTATAATGATTATATTTTTGATGCAGAATTTATACAAGCGGATAGTACCAAGGTACATTTGCCCTATTTTATAATACTTTTGGAGATGGAAGATGCTTATTTTAAGCAAGATATAGGTAGTGCTGTGATGTTTTGTTTATGTTGTATAGTTTCAAGATAGTATTGTTGCACTAACGAATGTCAGTTCCATAAAGAGTAGTTAAATGTGTTTGGTTATTGGTTCCCGTGTAACGGTTTTGCAGCTTGAATGTCTATTTTATTGAAGTAGCTTGAATCTATTTTTTTTCTTTCTCTTTTTTTTTTTTTTTTTCATCGAACAAGGTAAGGGAAGAAATAATTATTTCTAGAGGTCTGGAGTATACCACGAGAGGTCATAACTGGTCAATATGTTTTTATGCTGGAGTGAATCTTGTGATTAGACTTGTATCATGCCTATCTCAGTAATTTTTCTGGCAGCATTTTGGCTTCTATCATACACACCTTTAACACTTCTGTAGTAGAGCAGATTTCTTAGACTGAATGAACCCAGTGTGGAATGTATTGCTGAGGTTTAAGAGACTGTCTTTTACCCGGCACTGCCTTTGCTTCCTGAAAACGAAGTCAGAGTGTGCCCTGCTGGGGGGTTGAGGGCCAGAGCCCAGCTGATTCCTCACCAGCTTTAAATGGGCCTGTGGTTGCTTCCTTGCAGTCAGTTGGAATCTTTCATATGGTCTCTTTCTTGACTCAAAATTGCAGTCAGGGAAAGGGGATAAAACCTTGGCCAGAAAGAAAGAGATTTTCACATTGATCTTGCAGCTCAGTCTCGTATTCAGGTATACTATCTGTTGTGCACCCTCTTCAGTCTGTCTCTCTGGACACATACACGTTCATCTCCCTGACTTTTTATCTCTATCCTCATTTTATGTACACACAATGCAAAATCTGCCTCTCCCAACCTTTGTAATTCCTTCCATATACCAATTTCCTGTATCTCTCCCTGTAGCAGCAGAGAGAAGAGTAAATGAACAAATAAAAGTACTATGGGAATGTGAAGTATCTGTTTTTCACTTGCTGCATTTAGAGTGGTGGATGTGACATGAAGTGGTACACTGGTATGCAGTGGTGGAGTACAAAGCAGAAGCGTGGCAGGCTTTAACCTGACAAGATGCAAGACCACCTGCCCCACCACTGCTGATTACCTGGACTAAGAAAGGGTGTTCATGTATATGCATGTGTGTGAGAGAAATACAGCTTGGAGACTGGGCAAGCTGCTATGTTTAATGCCACCCAGTTGTACATCTCATGGGTATTTTCTGAGCAAGGGAAATGTCACTTCTGGTGACAAAGACTTGGAAGATAGAAATTTCCTTTTATTATAAGAATGTCTTTGGAGACTGTTAAATAGCCATTAGTTTCCTTTTGACCTGTCACATATAGAGATGCAGTTACTGCTTTAAAATAATGTTGAGAAAATGACATCTTTGAAATGTATTTCTGTATTCTTGTTGCTCCCAAACGCCATGCATGATTTTCTGTGTAGCCCTGGGCTTCTTAATGTCATCTCTGATTGTATCCTTGTTGAAGGTGTCACAGCTGAAAGGAAAAACTTCAAAAGATTATGGACTAGTGTATTTCTTGGAAGAATTAAGTGATTCATGCTTCTTTCTTTAGCTTCTGGCACTTTTTTTTTTTTTTACATCCATTTCAGGATCTCCTGGCTTCCAAATATGATGATCCATATATAAGCTTTGACATTTGCAGCTGTCAATTTGTTTATCATTATTCATTTGAGACATATGAGCAGGCTGACATGATGCTTAAAAACGCTTGTGGGAACCTCTCTCCTGGGGGCTATTTTATTGGGACGACTCCAAATAGCTTTGAGCTTATGTAAGTACTTTCGTTTTCTTTTACTCTTTTAAATCTGTTTGAAGCATTATGAAGTGATAGTCATTCTTACCATGCTTTGATATGTTTGTGCCAAATAACCCACATTTTTTGCAGTGTTTTTTGCCTCCTAGTTAGGAAATCTCACACATGAACTTGGATCAAATAGGTGAAGCTGTACTAACCCCTGTCTTTTGCACCCAGGGCTTTTCAGGAGTGAGTCTAGATCCTCATGTATAGACCTATATTGACTTCAAATTGTGACAAACAGCTACAAACTCAAGAATAACTTTTGCTATGGTAGTTGCAAGAAAGCCTTTTCTCTACAAACTGCATGAGCTGAAGGTTAATTTCTAGGTCTCTAAACTGCGTGAGCTGAAGGTTAATTTCTAGGTCCATTTAACATTTGGTACATTGTGTAGAAGTGATGAACTGTTAAAAACTAATATACTTCCTTGCTTGATACTGCTGTTTTGATACCTTATTTAATAAGGGAGCTGGAAAGGTACTGAGGTCACTGAACTCTCATGTGTAGCAGTATGAAAAATACTTTTGTGTTTCTTTTGTATTATTTTTGTGTTTTTAAAATTTAAAATTTGGTCAGTCATTTCCTATTTGTTTATATCTCACTTTATAGAAAACGACTTGAAGCTTCAGAAACAAATTCATTTGGAAACGATGTTTACAGTGTAAAATTTGAAAAGAAGGGAGATTATCCCTTGTTTGGCTGCAAGTATGACTTCCACTTAGAAGAGGTGGTTGATGTTCCTGAGTTCTTGGTTTATTTTCCATTACTGGAAGAGTAAGTTAACTTTGCACTATATATAAAAACTTTAAGTTTTTGTATAATGCAAACAGTGAAATGTGAATAAGCAGTTGTTTAGCTTGTGCATCTTTGCATAGTATTGTCAGAAAATAAAAGCATTTTGTTTATCTTAATATATTTTTGTTTCCTCTTTTGTTGTTGTTGTTGCTTTAATTTGAGAAGTTCCTCACGTTTCTCTCCAACCGTTTGTATAATCTGGCTTCTAACAGTTTTACCGGTTTGGAGGTGCTCTGGTTAGAAGCTGTTAAGACTAATGATACCTTTCAGATAGGAATGTCAGTACCTGCTGTACCTGATAATCAGCCAGCCTTTAATGCAGTCATCATCCTTTTCCTTTAGTCTTAGCTTGTTTTTTTTTTTTTTTTTCCCCTGTTGTTTCATTCTATCTCTGTTTAGTCCTTTAGAAAGTCTTCCTGTGTATCCTCTTCATCATGGTGCCTCTTTCCTATCCTCCCAAGTTTGGGGCGGGATATTTAGGAAGAATTTTTCTTTCAGATTTTGTTTTTTTTCCTCTGCATTTGCTGTTTACTTCATCTGTGAACACGTCTTTTTCTGTCACCTCTGCATGAACTCAGGTGTAGCTCTCCCAGCCTGCCTTCGTTCTTTCTGTTTTTTTTTTTTCCTTCCCGCTCTTCAAGCTCTGTATGAATCTTAAGGCCACACTGAGCTTTCTTTTCAAACCTGTAGCTTTTCACCCACTTTATTTCTAGATCACTGTGAAGAGTAACACCATCTGTTATGGAGACCCGCAATGTCAGGGTTGTTTGACCACAGCTCCTTAGCTTGTAACTTAGGTGAAAATCTAGTCAAAGATGGTCTCTTAGCATTTCCATAGTGACTGATTTGCAGGATGATGAAACTGCAGGGGCAATAACCTTTTTTTTTTAATATATAAACTGAAGTGGAATTTATGAGCTTGAATGTGTTGGGAGAAGAGATGTTTTTCTGTCAAAATGTTTATATTGAGTTCTTTGCAGGCTTTTGTTGATGTAACTCGTACTTAAAAAGTACAGTTTTTACTACTTACTAGTAGTGCAGATGACTTTTCATCCCAGTTCCTTTACTAAACTATATAGAAATTGTAATCCTGGTGAATGCCTTAAGATGTCGCTGTGACTTAAAACTGGTCTTTTGCAAGGAAAACTGAAGTAATTGTGTGGATTCCCTATGTAAGTGTATTATTTTGTCAGAATGGCGAAGAAGCATGGTATGAAATTAGTCTACAAAAGGACATTTCGGGAATTCTATGAAGAAAAAATCAAGAATGAGGAGCACAAAATGCTGTTAAGGAGAATGCAGGCCTTGGAGGTAAATACAGGGTGAATTTATTGTATTTAAGTAGTGGTTTACATTTTACTAATTATTTGTGCAATATTTGAAATTCTTGTTTTGAATATTCTTCTGTTAATTAAAGACTGCAAATAAAAATACTGAAGTTCTGTGACTGAAAGCACAGGTCAGATCGTAGGTAAAATTTCAGCCTTAAGGAAGATTTTCATTTTTATTAAAATGTGCTCTTCTGCCTACCATTTTTCATTTTTATTTTCAGTACATGGTCAGGTATATTTGCTTCGGTTTCATATGGAAATCCGAGAATCCCTTCTGATGTTACATAGTGATAATTATAATCCATTTGTTTCTCATCAGAGGAAGACTGAAAACTGGATCTTTGCACAAGGAATATTGATTGGAAAGACAGAAACTAATTTAGTGGGGAGGAAAACAATAGGCTATATTTGTGTAAGAAAATGACAATTAATTGCAACCGAACATATGCTTTGCCTTGTGCCTTAAGCTCTTATGTTGGATGATTTTAGTAGGTTTATAGAAGCTTTCCAACAACACTTCTGAGTTTTTTTTTTCTTACTTCTTCCTGCTTCCTTCCTGCCTCAAAAATTAGGAGTTTTTGACATAAAACTATCCATCTGAATATCTGTGGGCTCACCTTACACTGTGTCACTGTGCTACTGGTAAACCTATCAGCTTGTTAGAAAAGTGAGAATTGTTTTAATATTGACCACTTAATTTTGAGAACTGTATTGGTAAGTACAGGCTACTTTGCGCCGAGATCTTGCATATAGTCTTGAATCAGTTGTATACTTCTGTTTATAGCTCTGGTGTCTCATTTAGACATTCTAAGCATTCTGCTTTAAATCTCCCAGTTGTGTAAGATTCAGTTCTCTGTATTTCTGCTGAAGAGGTGCCATTTTGTTCGGTTGCTGTTCTGGAAGAGTTGCATGAAGATAATATTACTTATGAGCTTTACAAGGAAAATATTTTTTCTAGCTTATTCTATCTATCCTATTTCAGAGACATTATTAGAACTTATTTGATAAACCACAAGTGTCACATTTTATGGGAAGCAGGTAATATCACACCCAATCATACAGGACTTATAAGGAACATGTTAAGTTCAGATGCCTCCTTTAAAGCTCTGACCTTCATTTTCGTCCATGTTTTCATGTTTTGATAAATTTTGATTGATATTGTTGATGTAACTTAATATCTAATCAGTACTATTTTTTTCCCCTCTGTTCCTCAGCCATATTCTACCTTTGGTGATTCCAGGCTTGTTTCTGATAAACCTGATGATTATGAGCATGCAAAAGAGTTTATCAAAGATGGCAAGGCAAAATTACCATTGGTAAGTTCCTTCTTACTTCGCTTGAATAAAGTGTGCTTAAAATTTAGGTGCTAATCTTACAAATGTTTGATATCTTATTTCAACTACAAAATGCAATTGGTGTGATTTTCTCTCTGCATATGTGAAAAATTACACAACTGCAAGTTTATAGAGTTCATCTGATCTGTAGCACTTTGTCAAAGAATCCCATTCACCAAAGTTGTTAGCAATTCAGAAGGCTTGTAACAGCGTAAAAGGCTATTTTGCCATATTATTGGCAACTGCCTTAATTTGAAATACTTTATTTGGTTTCTGAATCTTTGTACAAATTTAAAACTTTTTTTTTCTTCTTCTTCTCTGACATGGACATCAGTTGAACATTTTCTTCATAATATTGTGTGTATTCAAAATCTGGAAATGTTTTTGTGTGTTTCTCCTGTTAAGCCAACTGCTTCTGTTCTAGAATGCCTACACTTGGTTTATGAACATAGAAATAGAAGACATATGATACTATAAACTGTATTTAATGGAAGTTGTACTAGATTTAGGATCATTTCTCTAATTAATATGACTTTTTTATTATAGTCCAACCTTCAAGATGACTTACTACTTTTCCAAGCTTGTTTTTCTCAGAATCTTGTAAAGCATTTTTTCTTTCTTTCATTCTGCTTAGGAGTACATGGCTATCTTGGTTGGAGTCCATTGGACCCATTTTAACAATTGGGCTGTATTTTTAACGCCTTGCAGTTAGACATTGAACAAGCCACTCTCTTGTTTATGATTTTTTAGCCAGCTCTGAGTCCTCCTTATGAGGTTTGTTTGGGAAGACTGTGGCAGCTTCTGAGAGTTTCTTAAGACCAGGGTAGAAGCGTTGGGGATGAGGTCATGTATCTATTGCTTCCTTTTATGTTATGGTCAATAAATGAAGCAAGATTGATACGATTTATTCCTGATTAGTTCCATTTGACTTTATTACAGTATAGATGTTTTGGTGCTTATAAATTATGTTATTTTAGATTTTTAAAATTAGGATTTCTTTTTGTTTATATTTGAGCTTCATCTTTAATTGGCTTTTTAAAAAATAAGTGATGTACTTGCCCTTCTGACTTCCTGAGACTGAAACAAATGATAGGCATTAATTAGCAATAAGCAATAGGCTATTAATAGCAATAGGCTATTAAATTAAATAGGCTTTTTTTTTTGTAGTGCCTGTTTGTTTATAATCCAAGTTAGTAAATAAGGCCAATTGTTTACAAAATTATTTTTTATGGACTTTTGTATGGTTTTCAAGTTGTTACTCAGTCTTGTATCGAGTCAACCCCATTCTTGCTGTTAAATAAACCTCCCAGCACTTTATGTTCATTCTTGGGTAAAAGGACTCGAAATTCCCCAGACCCATCCCAAATCTCATGTATGTGCAATTCCAGGTTTTGTGAAGAGCTGTAGTGATCCAGCCATGGCAGCTGGGGCCCTTCCAGCCCTTCTCTGCTGTATTGGTCTCGGAATTGGTTGAGAGTTGGTTGAATTGGAGCTTTAGGGCTTTGTCTTGTGGTTCTCTGACAAGAAAGAACCCAAATTGGAGCCTTATAATTTTAGTAACGTCATTAGCGTTTATTCCAGGATAGCATCCTACTTCATTGTGATGGATATAGCATGAGGCAAGTCAGCTTGAAATTATTCGCTTGGAGTGTTTTTTTTTTTCTCTCTCTCTCTCTTTTTATTTAACCATTGATTATTTACAGTTTGTGTTGTGAATTCCTGAGGCTACATGCCTTTTACTGGATATATAAAAATCCTACATCAAGAGAGAAAAGAAACATGCTGTGTTTGAAAGCTAGTAGTTCTAAAAAGAAAATTTCTGCTTTTAAGAAATATGCTGAGTTATAATGATTTGGTCAGGATTGACTTGGGGCTAGTTTATGGGCTAGATCATGTCCCCAGCAAGGGCAGAGGGGAATGGGTTGAAGTGGCCAGAGCAGAAGATCAGCTTGTTCTTTGTCACCTCACGCTGCTGCTTTGGTAAGGTGAATGGCAGCATCTCTTTACTGTGAGAGCTTCCCTCGCCGCGCTGCGGGGGCTGGAGTAGCTTCCAAAGGGCTGCGAGGCAGAGCGCTCTTCAGCTCCGAGCTGCCGTGGGACGTGGCCTCCTGCAAGCAGAGGTTTTGGGGGCTGCAGGGAGCTGCTGGGCAAGGGGGGTAGCCCTGTGGCCCATGGCCAAGTGTGTGTGGTCTACAGCAACACTAGTCCCTAAATAGGCACCTGGTGTGAGTGGGAGAAAGTTGCTCTGTGAAAGGTTGATTATCGCTGAGTTAAATCTGTGTTTTGTGTTTTCTTCATACTCTTATTTAAACTCTCTCTTTTGCTCCCTTCTAGGGAACCTTGAGTAAATCTGAATGGGAAGCAACAAGTAAGTATTGTTTTGGCAACTCAGTGCTGGCTGAATGGCAGGGATGAGAACTGTGTCAAATACTTAGGCTGTTAATTCTAAAAAATAAGTAGGCTATAAATTCTAAATATATAAATACCTCATTTTATGTTATTCAAATGCCTATGTATGCATTTAGCGTGAGTATTTTAAGAATTTTGGGGAAATGCATAAAAGAGGTTTTTCTAGCTTACAAAATTTTAGTGAAAAAAAGATTTTTTTTTGTTTGTTTTGTTTTTTTAAGAAACATTGCTTAGAATGTAGGAGAAAGGGATGCCAAAGTTAAAGTATTATTTTACCAGAACCAAAGGATTTACTTTTATGCTTTTGTTTGGTAAACTTGGGTATTATACAATTACCATTCAACTAGAAAGTAAGCTTCATTTGAGCTGTATGTTCTTCAAAAAATATAAACCTGTCCTGGGGAGAGGTGGTTTGAAGCTCTACTCGTTATCCACAGTGATAAATACATGTCAGGAAGAAGCAATTAAAGTATAGCTACTGAAAAGATATTTAGTATTTATTTATTTATTATTATTAAAACTCAGTGCTTCAGGCAGCGGAAAGGACTGGTATTGTTAAATACATTTTGAGATATTAGGTTTTTCCCCTCTAAATTTAATAAAAAACAAATATTTCCCAGGGAAATGATTATTAACCTCTGTGTAACTGTGTCCAACCAGGATTTGCATTTTTAAAGATAAGTTATACCAGGCCTAGCAATTTTAAACAAGGAAGCAAAAATCCTGTTTGATTTGTGAGTGATTATTTTATTTTTGTGAGTGATTGAAATTCCTGGAATAGAAAACTGTTAGCTGTTTTGTAAGAGGTGTGAATTATAAAGGTAGACATTAATTCTGCCAACGTAAAAGTGTTTCATAAATCATGAATCTAGTTGAAAGAGTCTTTTTATGCCTTTAAAAGATAAATGATCGCTGCATTTCTAAAGTGGTCTCTTTGCAGAGAGATCTGTAGTACAGTGGTTCTGATGGTTGGTTAGGACCCAGCTTTTTCCCATTAAAAGGAACCTCACTTTTCTCTATTCTTGAAGAATGTTCCTAGACATCAGGCTTGTCTAGGTGGATAGCTATGACACTTTATCCATTAAAACAAAAAATGTGTTCTAGTGGAAATCTGTCAAACTGGTCTCATGTTCTCTTAAACTGGTTAAATTTAACTCTCTGGTATGAAACATGAGAACCTCTGATATGTCTCTCTTCATATGCCAAGTGTTTATCTCCTAAGGATTCGGGTGTAGACTGTTTGAATACCCATTTCTAGACTGATGAACATTTGGGGCTTGGAAAAAAAAATAAAAACCACGCTATCTAATTTTTGTAAATATTTTTTCTTTGTCCTCTCTTGAAAAGAAAAAAAAAATCTTAACATAAGTTTATTCACTTTTTAATTAAAAATGAAGTTGATCATTCCAAACCTAATTATCCTTTAATGCATATATAAAGGAGTCGTCAACTTAAAATTGTGTATGACCTTTTATGCACGAGTGAATGTTAATTATATATAGAATGGCATAGTTAAGATTGCATGATAATTTGTGAATTGCATTTGCATTTCAGTAGTGTCATTAACTCAAGTTAGTGTTACATTAACCATATTAACAGTATTTAGAATCTATTACTTTTACACATGGCTAGCTCCATCTTGAAAATATGCCTACAGATAGAATTGCAAATATGTTTGAATTAAGTCAGTGTTAGAATCCTCTTCCATGAGTTTATATGCTATTAACAAACATGGTAATCTTTATTGGTATTTTACTAATAGATTGTTGGGTAAAATATCAGCCTGTTCTCATTTCGAAAATGAGGTCCTTCCTGACAAAGGAAACTGAAAGTTTTAAAAACTCCATTTTCTCTCTTAGGTATTTACTTGGTGTTTGCCTTTGAGAAACAACTGTGAAACTTCATATACCAGATGCAGCAAGAGGAGATCATATCCATGTGCAAGTTGGAATGGTCTAAAATCCATTGTGGCAACTATTTTTTTATTTTTATTTTTTAATTATCAGAAGTGTGCAGGGCACTACCAAAAAAAAAAACGAGAGCAAGCTCATGATTCTGAGTTACATTTGCCTGTCTGTGACAGATGGACTTGTGTGTGTATATATAAGAAAGATTCAAAACCAGTCTTTTTAAACATTTGTAAGCAGTCTGCATGCCTTCAAAACTCATATTTGAACTTGACAGAGCTTTATGTTCCAAACAGATGTGTGGTTAGTATGTTTGTGGCTACATCCGATCCTGCAGTTCCTGAAATTGATGGAAAATGACTGTTGATTTCTGTGATGCAGAATGAGGGCCTAAAGGCTGCGCTGCAAACCTCAGCCAATTCACACTGAGGTATATTCAGACACGTAGGGTACGTCTACATCACATGGGGGGCTCAATGGCAAATAACACCTGAGGCCATTTGAGTACCTCTGTACTGTGCTCTGGCCTGCAGTGTAAATTTACCTTAGTGGTATTCAAGGTGTAGTTTACATAGTGAAGTCCCATGCTGTTCTTGTTTTTATTTTTTTGTGTGCTTGCTGATATGTAGTGTCACTTTGTGGTGCTTTCAAGATTAAATTGGTTTGTTCTGTACAAAACCGCTCTGAAATAGCTGAATTTCTGAAGGTTTAAAACTCCAAGTCATTCTTCTAAGTGTGACTGTGCAGTAATCAATCACAACAGCTGAGACTAGGTTACTGAACATTTTTTGTTACATTGAAGACTCTCACAGCTCTTTGTAATTTTAATGTTTCCGTTGTTCATAGTTTACTACTGACACTTTCTAGATGGATCTTTTTCCAACATTGACATGCTTCCCACTTGTTTCACAAAGTTTCTTCTTGGCAAAATAAGCTGTACATGGTGGTGGGGTCCTCAATGCAGTCCTTAGAGCATTAGGAATGTCCTCAAGTAATACATCATGAACTAAAGAAGGAACTTGTGTGATGCTTGAGGGCATTGGCAATTCCCTCAGGAAGGGAGGGATGAGCATGATGGCATGTGCTGGCACACAGCTCTATGCCTGTGGATAGCGACCCCCAAATTTCAGCCAACAAATTTTACCTGGAGCATACTCTGGCCATATTAGCAAGTAATGTTGTAACCAGCTACAGTCCTACTGCTCGAGTCTGTGAAAGCTGGTGCAGGGATTCCCAGCGTGAGATTTGTTCTGCGTTCAGCGTGCCTGCAGCAGCCCTATAGCATGTGGGCATAGCTGCTTTCTTCGGTTCTCCCCTCCACCAAGTTTGCTAAAAGTGGCTTTTTGCTGTTGTTGCCTCATGTAGTTTGCGTACAGGTGAAATGATAAAACATTGATGGCTTGTGAGCCTTTTGCAAAATTTAATAAACCTGGGTTTATTAATCTAGATTTAATAAACTATTTCTGTTAGAATTAAGCGTTCAAAATTTTAGAGCTTGTGTGTGGATGAGCTTCTCTGTCTGATCAGATAACGATTCCTGTTTTTTTTTTTTTTTTTTCCAATAAAAGGTCGTCTCAAAATGTCACCAGGTCAGTATAATCAGTCAATACTGGTACTGAAATTAAAAAACAAACAAACAAACAAAAAAAACCTTTCAGGGCAGCTAAAAAAAAATACAAAACTAGCTGAAAAAGGCCAGTGCTTTACAAGTGCTGAAATATTTTATGCAACTTAATGTGTGTATCAAAACCATTATTTTTCTTTTTTTTTCCTAAGAAATCATCATAATAAAAGCAGAGAGGGAAGTAGAGCGAAGTGTCTTTCCACTTTTAGGCAAGTTTCAGTAGTTCCTGGTGCCACAATCCCTGTTTTCCAAGTGGAATGGAATGACTTCTCAAAGGAACAACGGAGCCCAAGGGCTCACAGCCCTTCCTAAGGGCTGCTGATGGAGAAGAGAGGAGGGGAGGCCCAGGACCTCTCACTTGGATGGTTTTTGCAGCAGACCGAGTTGAGGCGACGGCTTGGAATATGAGAGGAAGGAGGGAGCAGCGCATGAAGGGTGCTGCAGTTTGAAGAAATGCTTCAGAGTCACTTTACATTAAGTTAGAAAGGGCATCTTTGGTTCAGTTTGCCAGTTGTTGTCTAGATGCTGCGACTTGCTTGTTTGGGAAGAGGAGCTAAGAGGATCCATAACATTTTTCTCTAAATCAGATGAGGGCAGAGGGGAGCTGTGGTGAAACCTGATTGTTCAGAATATAGTTAGGGGGGAGAGCCAGTGTAGCTGAAAAATGGTTTGCACTTTAAACTTTATATAAAACTTTAAGTGAGGTCCCTGTCTCGGGGAAAAAATCAACTTTCTACGAAAATGGTGAAACTCTGCTTCAACTAACTGCTTGGTATGTTCAAGAGAATGGAGTCTCAGTATATCATGATACAAGATGTTCTTCTCATAGCCATATTGCTTTGGCAAAAAGTGGATTGCAGAACCCCTTGATTACTCTGCAGATGCTTAATTTTTATTTCTTCTGAAAGCTTTGGTTTTTGACCTTTGGTAAGGAGGGAGGGCTTGAGCCTGTTCATGAAACAGATGTGTGCCTTGCACTGACAGTTTGCCCTAACTTTTATTTTTTTCCTCCCGTCTGTCTATATTTTTAAAAGAGGCCATTTTATATTTTATTCTCTGGTCTTTTAGTTAAGGTTATCAGTGTGCTTGCCCTGTCAATCTGTAGTATGGGAATTTTTCAATATGGGGCTTAGAATATCTTGCAACCTTACAGTTGACTCATGAGTTCATGAGTTTTGACTCATGAAATTGAACCTTGCATTTGTCAGCAAGTGTGTCGTGCTTGATTTTTGGTACCACAGCACAGATTTGCTATGTGTGCTGTAGTGAACTATGCACCAGCGTGGTAGAAATTGCTGTAGAGAGAGGATGTGAGCACGTGCTATGTTTTGTTCTTAAATTTTAAGGAAGCGCTTAAGGAGGCTTGTTGCCTGGTAGAATGCACTTGACTAATGTAAGAGGTTAGACTTATTTCAAATCTTGCACATTTTTCTGTTACAATATTTGACTAGTTTAATTTACATAATGAACATCTCAGTTCTTTGACTGAAACCAAGTGCTTTCCTTTTGAGTCATATTCTATTTAATAAAGCACAATCTCATCTAAAATGTATTTTTATTGAAAAGAATAATTATATGGTGTCTTAGAGCTGCTAAACTGTGTTTGTAAAGACTTGGGAAAGAATTAATTTGGGGAACATTAAGATGGGTAGCAATACATTTAAGACATCTGTAAAGTAATCAGAGGGTTGATAATGAATCCACTTTTGCAATCCACTTATTGCCAAAGTAATAAGGCTGCTTTTTGGGGGGGGGGGGGGGGGGGGGGGGCGGTAATGGAATAGTTGCCTAATACCAAACAGGATTAATAGTTACCTGGAAACCTCAGTTCCCTGGAATTCACTGCATGCTCCAGATGAGAGCTTCTGCCTGTACAAAAGTGAGGAAGCAAACATCTGTATTGCTATTTATGGCCGTAAATAAGTGTCCTGATTTTTCAGGCATGCCAGGCAGAAAAATCAGGTCATTTAAGTTCCAAAGAAACATGGAGACAACAGTGAGTGTTTTTGAACAGAAAACCTCATTTGAGATTTAAAAAAAATCTTATAAAAGCTGAATCTTTGTGCTGATGACACTATAAATACTTTGTGCTGGACTTAAACGGTTATCCTGTAGCTCGTTCTTGGCGCCTGCAGTGTGTACATTTTAGACTCGTGTACTCGTGCTGGTGGGATGGCTTTTCCTCAGCCTCTCTCACAGCAGCAGCCCTTTGGAGCTCTGTGTCACCGCCAGATTTACTGTGCTGCTAAGGGTCTCTGCCACTTAGAAAGCAGATGAGAGGCCCCAAACACAACTGACTTTAAATAAACAGGGTTTTGGTAGGTTAAAGCTCTTCTGATGTTGCATAAATCCCATTTTGATGGAAGCTGATGTCCCTTCACTTTAATAAAGCTGGATCTCAATACCGTGGTTTCTGCTTTGCTTTAATGTGTCTTCAAGCAACTAAAGTTCCCTTTGGGGGTAATATGTTTGAATGTATAAAGGCCGATTGACCTGCCCTGTTAACAGCTGAAGCTTAAGTTTCAACAGCCAACTTCCTAAGAGTCACGCTGTATCTTTTACAGCCTTTGCACAGTGAGGTGGATTAGGAACTGGCTGCATGGCAGAGCTCAGAGGGTGGTGATCAGTGGTACCGAGTCTAGAGGTACCTAGAGGAGGCCTGTAGCTAATGGTGTCCCCCAGGGGTCAGTCCTTGGTCCAGTCCTGTTCAATTTATTCATCAATGACCTGGATGAAGGCACAGAGTGCTCCCTCAGCAAGTTTGCTGATAATACCAAACTGGGAGGAGTAGCCGATACCCCAGAGGGCTGCGCTGCCATCCAGAGGGACCTGGACAGACTG